TGTACCTTTGTGATAGACTTATGAGAAGGAAGATGTAATTAAGGTGATAACTAGGAACACAGCAAACCAATGACCTTTGTAAGAGTAGTTGATCAGGTTCAAATATGCTGGGCATAAAGGGATAGAATTATACAAGTTTTTCATACAAAGACTAGTACACCATTGCCTAGATTATTTTTATTATTGTTTAATGTCTGGTCAATTCCTGGTGAAATTTAATTTATTTTGAACGAAAATGTCCATTGGAAATTCAGCCTTCACCAGGCCAAATGCAGTATGTTAGCACTAAATATACACTATTTAACATTTTGCAAAAAATATGCAGTCCCATGTTACTGAACATGAATAAGCAGATCTTTGGTTTGAAAAGCAGGCATGACATACTGAAATGGTGACCTTTCTCAGGCTGTAAATAAAAGGCTGAAGCAAGGTCAATAAGAGAGTCCCTAAGGCACCTCACGAACATATTATTATCGTCTTGACTGCTCTTCTAAAGACCTCCAAGTAATGCTATATAACACTAAATGCACATTTAGTGATATGAAGATTAAGCACAAAAGATCAAATCATATTACAAACAACAAAGATATTGGTTTGATGAATTATGAGTAATATGAAAAAAATAATGGCTAGGAGAAAATGTGGAACAGTAAGTTGGCTCTTTTCCCTTCCTGTTCTCTTCAAACTTAGTTCTGGAATAGCCTTCAACCACCTGGATCTCTTCATGTGGGATAGGATGATATCTCAGAGGTCTGTCAATTGTGTTTCCAAAACACCAGTAAAGGAAGCTGTTCTAGAATTTGTGTGCGCGCATGCTTTTTGCAAGCCAGAGACAGGAGCTAAATGCCACCCAGACAGAGATACAGACACTTAGTTTAGCATTATATTGCCTGGATTACATTTCATATGGTGTCCAGGAGATGAGTGAAAAACAAGATGAAGGACAGGGGATTGTAAATTGTGCCTTTCATAAAGGTTAAGGAAATACAGTGTATACCTACCTTAGAATAGCAAAAGGCACTGTAAGGATAGCCTGAACCTATAGCATTCTATGAAAGAGTAGAGATAAGCTGCAACACAGTGTTTTCCTTCATTTAAATAAAAAGTTGACCTCTGCTGTGTTATCTGGGCCAACAAGTTTCAGAACTGGAGTCAGTTCATTAATCAAATAATATAATATTTAATTTTGGCTAAATATTTAAAAGTCTGTACCAAAATAAACCATTGCTATCAAGAAAGCTTTCTCAACCCTTTTACTTGAGTAAAGGGTGGTTCAAATAAGTTAAGGCCTATGGATTGGAATAGCAGTGCTCTCCTTCCCATTTCTGGTTTGCCTAACTGGGCATTGCCTTAGATATATGTATTGTAAATTACATTCTAGTAAATACTTGTATGAACCCCCAAGCAGATAGATCAGCTTTCCCAGCCTGGATGTACAGTACTTCCGATGTACTTGATTGCCAAAGGCAGAATTCCTAGTCATACTGGCTGAGAACCATGAGAGTTATTGTCCTAACATATGTAATTGCAGATTATTACATGAAAATAGTTGAAAGAAGAGTTCTACAGTCAGGCCCACTGATGTACAACGGGGCCCACTGACAGTCATCAGATGCAGGAATGATGGGGTGATTGTTGAGAATATCTCTGCATACTTTTAACCCCATAGAAATAGAATGGATCATTGTACATCAATTCATATTAAGAACACACAGTGATAACTTTTAGATTGGAGCAGATAACGATAACTGCTGCAAAGTTATATCTGCAAGTCTGAAAGTGAGAGCAACACATTCCCAGATCTTCAAGCCAGATTATTTACACTGTGTGTACATGCAGGAGCTGTGTGGTAGCACAAAGCTGGTTGTTGGCCACAAGTTCATCATTCTATGAATCATTTTAGAGTAGCTAGCTTAGAGCAGAATGGCTGTGGATCATGGCAAGGAAGGCTATTGTGCCAGCAGTTTGCATTCATAGGTTAAGAGTCACTTTGCTAAGAGATGCAAACTCAGCAGAGTGGAAATAAATGTGGGGTTTGTTAAGAAAGAAGTAGCCCTATTCAGTGGCTCTCATGTATAAGCTTTATATGTGAGGAGTTGGAGGTGGAATGAATGAATTCTTCCTCCCTTTCCCATCCTCACTGCTTTCTATGTGTGAATGGCAGCTGTACAGCAAGACTCTTCCCTGAGTTACAGAATTTGAACAATTGGCTTCAATGTGGAGGAAGCCACAAGAGCATGAGGGAGGAGGAGAACTAACTAGCCCCCCTTCCTCTTTTTTCTCACATGCAGAGCTCAGACAAAAGGGGAAGTACTGAACAGAGCTAATGCCTCTTAATGTGCTTTCAATGTCTCTTATCTACATTTGTGCAAATATTCCCATCTGCGATTAATTTTCTCTCTTATAACAAAATTGGGGTAATTAGGCAGCTCCAAACTAATGTTCTTAAAAGTATTTACTGAAATGTCTTTTATATTTATAGTTTGTAAATTTCAAATCTGAAAGCTCCTTAATAAACTCTATAATTATTTTTAAAATTTAAATCATTCTCAATATGCCTTAACAATGAATGTGCAAGGGCAGGATATAACTGTCAAAATGCAGTCCTGTTGAACCTCAACTTATCCATTCCCTCTGTGCCAGCAAACCCTTCCCTCCTGCCATTGCTAAGCAGCAAAAATGAAAAAGGGAAACTCCTCCTTGGAGCTACATATAAAATTCCTCTTTTTACAACTCCACCCATGTTAAGCAGCTAACACTTCCTGTCTTGCTAAATAAACATAGCTTGAACTGGATTTCACTTAAAGAGAGAAGAATGATGATCAAAATGATGCTCTGCCCAATTAAGGAACTCATCTGATTGCCTATCCATTGGAATTCAAAGCAGCATTCATTTGCAATGCATTCATTTTTATTACACTGTGACATTTAGTGAATTAATCAGTAAAACTAATTAAAACTATTGTATTGGCTAAAAAGTTGCCCTGCATAATTGGTCAGCTTTTTTTAATCTTAATTTTTGTGTGTAGATATTGATAAAAACTTTAGGAAGCAGGCACTATCTTGGAAGAGGCATTCTTCCCCATCCCCCTCCTTTTCTGAAGCTTCCTCTTCTAAGATATGGTATGATGTGCATTATCTGAAAATAACAAGTATGCTTTCCCCCTCTGTGAAGTTATTTTAATTCAGATACAATTTCAGTTGATCAATCAGCTGATTTAATTAGATCTCTGACTGATTGGTAGCCAGAGTTGTTACTTACAAGTGACATAGTATCTTTATTTTGTTCTGAATGGATCTGGCTAGCAACTTCTGATTTCACCCATCACAAACAGATCTTGGAGTATAGTTGCAAGGCTTGAATTCAGTTAGTGGCGCATAAACAGGATTGTGCTGCCATGTTTAATACTTCAGCTGTTTAATACTGACTAGGGAATTCCACATAAATATCTGGCACTGCTCCCAGAATTTTCATCCTTACATGTTTCACTTCTTGGCTGAACACACAGGAATATTGGGATATTAACTGCAGCTCCACGTTGCCTATACAACTTGGAATTCCAAGTGCAGGTATAACACATAAGCAGCAAATATATTTCAGGAACTGCCAATTAATTTCATTTGAGAACAGCACTGAGAGGGAGGAGGGAGGGTTAAAAAAGAGAGAGCAAGAGTTTTGCAAAGGCTGGATCTAGTTCCAGCCATGGGAGCCATTCTCTAAACCAATTTCTACTCAGATTTCTCTTGCTGGTCAAAAGGGGCATTCCTGTGCAGAACCCAGTACCCATTCCCCTAATATTCCAGAACAGAAGCAGCTAAGAGGACTGTAGGAAAAGTGGTGAATCAGGAAAGACCATCAGTTCCTCCATTTTATTACAGGGACTCTTCTCCTGGATCAGCAGTCTCCAGTGATGGAGAACCTTCTATCCACAGAAGACAGATGCTCAGATCCAATTCAATACGCTTTCTAGCATGATTGCAGAATTTTACCTTGCAAATATTCATTGCTACTGCTGGCAGAGAAAGGTCATTGCATGAAGCAATCATTATCGTGTGTGCCCCGGCCCTTCCCTCTGGTTTATGGGCTCCTTTAGTATGTTTCATTCAGTTGTGCTTCAATATCAAATGTGTTATCACAGCTACCTAGGACTGAAAGAATGCAGTAGGGAAGGGAGAGGGAGAAGAAATACAGACAGTTTAACCATCCATGCTTAAAAAAATTAGCAACTTAACTGGAAAATAAGAATACATCAACTGCTCTGACCACAGATGCACCACATATTTCTTACCTGGTTCTGATCAAGCATCATATGCAATAGCCAGCAGCTAGTTACACTTTAATGCACATGAGTTTAAAAACTGTACAATTGTTTGTATTCATAACAAATGCTTGATGGCTATTACCATTTTTGGCATTCTCTGTAAAAGCATGTCAAGCTTTGCAAAGGATTCTGTACCCCCTTTTGGTTTCTTTCAGTTATACCAAAAACTTGTGCTCATTAAAGTACATCCTTTTCTTCTTCTAATGCAGCATTTTCCTCTTTCAGGTGTGGCCCATTTCCTGTTCACTGGGAGCCACCTTTGGCTATGTGGCCGGACTCCTTATTGCATCTTTGTGGATATACTGGAATAGGAAGCAGCTTACATACAAAAGCAGATAACTGGCACAAAGAGGAAAGGCATTTTGATTGTGTGATTCCATGAAGACCGCACAGGGGTATGGTCAAAGCAAAAGGCTTTCCAAATCTTTTCAGACCATTGTTGGGCTTTGCTCCTTTTTTACAGCATGGTCGACATGCAGTGGCAATGTGATCATACATTTGTTGTGTGTCCTAAATTACGTTACCCCTGAGAGATTGTACATTCCTTCCCATCTGAATAAAATCTTCGCAGTAGATGGTGCCTACTTCTTCACACATTTGTGATTTTCTCCCTCCCCCTCTGGGTTTCACCAAATGCCAGTTCCTAAAATCAGCTTCCCTGTCCATCAGTGGATCTCTTAATAAGGTGTTGCTGTCTTGAAGTGTATATTTGCACAGTGTCAGAAGTTTCACAGTATGCGTGGCCATTGTCCCAGCAGCTTTCATGTGATCAGGCAGCAATTAATGCATCTTGAGCCTATTCTCTTTTTCATTGTGTGTTTCTTTGGAGTTAGAATGGCTATAATGGCTTCATCAAAAACAGTCTTCAATCCTTTCTGTGTTAAAGCTGAGCACTCCACATAGCAATAGGCTCCTATCTGTCAAGAAAACAAATGCATTTAATAGCTACACAGACAGTGGCCACCTTCCCCAAACTCTATTTGCAAGCCCAGGGGGCTTTCATTTTTATTGAAACATCAATGTTTGTTTTTTGTTTTGTCTTTGCCCTGAGAAAAACATTCCAGCACTCTACCTTCCAGAAAAAGAAGTGATTCAAGTTTGTCTTTTGGTGACAGATTTAGAATTCTTTTCATTACATTCAGGGTTTGAAAGAAAAACATTAAATATATTGGAGTTTTCAGTTTGTTTTACTATTGGCAGTATATTTGTACCTGAGGCATTTTAGGAAGGTGTAAAGAGCAAATGAAATGTATGGATATTTAACATATTCACAGAGATTACCATCAAACAGAAAATTGTCTATACCCAAATACATTATCACACCTGATATAATATTATACTTCAAACGCTTAAAAATTCAGGTGATTATTTTAATTTTCTCAACTCATACTCTCACTGTGTTCTATTGCCTTTCATTCAAGTAAGTTATCTTTTAATTATTGAAAAGTACTAAATGAACTTTCCTACTTAGCAGTATTTAATATTATGTTTTATTCATGAACAAAACAGCCATATTAACAGGTAAGATTATGTAGTGCTTAATTTTTACACAGCTGCCTTTAAATGCAGTACCAAAATCTGCATTCTTGCTGCTCCTTCTCAATGAAGGAGACTAAAAGTGGCACTGGCCCATTTGAAAAACGGAGCCATACTAAGTTTATTCCCTGAGACTGTGGGCACAGCTGGAATTTTGGGAGCACGTCCTGCCCATGCTCAAGGATGCTGGCAGCTGGCCATGCAGCAAGTTTCAGGTCTGGAAAGAAGTCACATACTGAGGAAAATGGTGGACAAATGCAATATTAAATTTTAGGGATAATTTAGTATAAGAAAAGTGAAGGCAGAACCAAGATGCAGAAAAATGCAGTGTTTGTAATTAGTAGAGCTGAAGAAAGATGCCTGGATACAAATCCTCCACACGAGCCTTCCTGTGGCCCCTCACTGTCTACAGTTATTGATGGGAGGTATAGTCTAACATATCTGGAGGGCATTAGGTTAGGGAAGAATTGCTGTTATACAGTTATCTGGGAATAACTGAATTAAATGGCAATTGTTTTATCTTTTTTTTTTTTTTTACTGTCAACGCTACACTAATGTTTGCTGATTTTTATATTTTATATTTTTATTTACTTGTTAGAGTTATATCCTCCAAGAATTCAAAGGGATTTACATGGAGATCTCCTTTCATGTTGCCATGAAACAGCAACTTTCAAAGTACAGGTAGTCCTTGGTTTATGACAGCAATTCTTGTGCTGTCGTAACCACAAGATGTGCGGGTCATTAAGCAGGAAGGGGTGTAGTGTGCACTACATAGCAGGTCAGGTGAGTGTGTGTGTGGGAGGGTGCACGAGGGGTGTGCTATGTAACAGGCAGGCGCTATGGAGTGCAGATATGCTACGGAGTACAAGATCCCTGGACTCTGTAGTGGGCTCCTCGGGAGAAAACGGCAGAAGCAACTTACTGGGGTGACTTGCAATCTTCCTTGCTGGCTTCTCCATTGGCCTTGCATGTGAGAAGCCAGCAGGGAAAGTCACAAATGGCGATCATGTGATGTGGCACACTGTGACACCGTAATCACAAGCCAGGCGCCTGAGCACCCACATCGCAATCGTGATCAGGGTATGCTGTGATGGCTAGAACTTCGAGGATCAGTCATAAGTCCATTTTTTCAGTGCCACCATAACTGAGCAGTCACTGAATGAATGGATGTAAGGCAAGGAGTACCTGTAGGTTGGGGTGACAGTCCTTGCAGATCCTTTTGTATGGACATTGCAAGTCTTTTCATATAGAAAGATAAAATAAAGGTAGGGGAAATTCAGCACACATAGTGCCAAGCAAGATTTGAACTCTTAAATATCCAGCTTACCTCTTTTGCTAACTTCTGGCCCTGCTCCATAGATATTGGCTTTTCTTTCATGTCATTTAGCCTTGCTAATGTTTTAGGATCATCACGAAGATCAATCTGTTAGGAAAGTTACAGTAGATGTGTATACTTCCTTCTACATGATTCAAATCAAACTTTACATCACAGACTTTATTAAAAAAAACAGAATTGGCTCCAATACAAGTTAACCATCCTAATGTCTCGCTGAACACCTTGGAATTTAAATTAGGCATAATTAATATTGAAACTTAACTGCAGCTAACTCAGGCTAATTCAATCTATAACCTTCACTTTAATTGGAATCTTAAGCCTAATTCCATAAGGCACACTGTGGTTCAAATGAACTGTGCAAATGTAGGAGGCCCCATGACATTTCCAAAGAGTGACCTCAAAGCATATTATAGCCACCTCATTTAAACTAAGCAACCTGGAATCTAGACTACTGATCTCTAATCTCCTCTTCTTCCTCCATCAGATATGCTGAACTAAAATTCCCAAAATTGTAGTTCAGCATACAGGAAGCCAATAATTTGAAGATGAGAGGCAGGGACTGCTTAATCTTCCCACTTACTTACTTTCTTCTGCTGACTCAAGCCAGAAATTAATTAAGAAGAAGAAGCTTGGAGGAAATTTGCAGAAGAAAATAGGTATCTGGAAGAAAGGCTAAATGTCCCCCAACCCATTCTTCGTTATTTGTACATTCATTCATTTATTCCATTTAGGCACCACCCCAACTACAGAGAAGATAACAGATGTACAATTTACATTAGAAAAAAGTATACAAGATGGCAAATCCAGCCAATGACACAAAACATATACCACACGCCCGGCAAGGGGGTCCATCCACTTTAGGCCAGAGCCTGGGAGAAGAGCCAGGTTTTCAAGGCCTCCAGAGCACCATCTGGGTAGGAGCTTGAAAGTGTCTCTGCATGATTACTGGTAAACTGGTGCTTGCGAAACAATTATTTCATAGACACAACTACTCTGTGCAGTTTCAGAATGAGTTCCGGACCTTTATGACTCCATAGATTCAGTTGTTGAGAGTCAAGCCAATTTATTTCTGGCTCAGCTGTGATGTACTTGAAGCCATAGTAAAACTTGTCTTTTCTTAGAGTTGTTGCAGCTCTATGGAGCTAGTTTGTTTCTATATTTGCGAGCTCACCACTGCTGATTCTAGCAGGTCTTTCGAGGTAAGAGTGGTTTGATGGCTTTGCAGCCAACTCATTCATAGAAATCATTCAGAGATTTTTGCATAGAGACAAATGGATAGATGGGGGATGGGGAATAAAAGCAATTTTTAAATTTAGTGCAGAATAGGAATTAGGGGATTTCCAGCCTTCTAGCATCAGCAGCAGGGCCGTAAATACATGAAAATCTTTGCTCATTGTTATTAGTGTGTGAAGTCTACCTGCTTTTCAGGGATAAAGGAATAGGAGTACTGTTGATGTGTAGCTCTGTCTTGAATATCAGAATTTCATGGTTAACTTTTCAACATGAAAAAAGAGGGAAACAGTAAGATGCATAAATTGTGAATAAAAATGGTAAAAAAGCAGGGTCTGACTGCAGTAGTATATATGTGGGACTGTATTTGGGGTGTTTCAAAAGGAGGAAGGCATTTTCTTACCGACCAAGTACACCCACATTTCTATTTGGAAAGCCAGCAGTGAGCACTGAGCCCAGAAACTGCCACAGCCACATGGGTAAAAATGGATGAACCGATTCTTCCCACCCAGAGGATACACAGAGATGCGTATCTATGTATATATTTATCAGCAAAGGAGACTCTTAATGACCACAAGACTCTTCTTTCCATCCAGCTGCAGCATGTGATACCCACGTTTGTCTGAATCATCTGTTTGGATCCTATAACTGCTGCTTTATTGTTAATGAGCAAACACCCTTTTTGTTCATAAGCAGAGCACATCAAGATGCAGAGCTTTGCTTTCAATTTAAATGCTGAAAGAAGTTTTAAAAATTCATAAAGAGGACAAAGGGCGGGGGGGGGGTATTCTCAAAGGACTTGGTTCCCTAACAAGAACAACAAAAGTAGACTGAGATGCAGTTTTGTTCACTCTCTTCATTGGGACAGTTTCTCCATTCCATAGTTAATCTTTCAAGGCCTGTTTACAACTAATGGTGTTAATCACAGAAGGACTAGAGGGCTCCAGTTGTCCCTTCTGGCTCTAAAATTAGATTGCTTTGGATGCATTTCTTGTTATTTTAGTTGCAAACTAGAAATATAAGCCTACATGCTTGGAGAGAGCAAGGGGTGAAGGAGCTGGCTGCTTGATCTGGAAAGAGGGAGAAGCTAGATTTATGTGACAAAGAGGAAATTGGACTTCATTTCAATTGTAAATGGTACCTATCAGGTTAAGCCAAAGATTTCATGGGAAAGGGTGAGTTTTGAAAAGACTTTTCAGATAAAAATTAAGATGGCACTATTCTGAGAAGGGCATTGTGGCATAAGAAATAATTAGAATGGGAAGAGTGATGGCAGTAGAGTTAGAAAGGTGAAGATCACAGGAAAGAACATGCCAATGAGTTTTAAAGGTACTGAGAACATTTCAGGGGCAAAGATAATTGGTGCATGTGCTTTTTGTAAATGAGGAAGAAAATATCTGTTGCTCTTTCCATGGCACATTCTTACCAACAGAAATAGCCATAAATATAGATATGATATTCAATCTACGTACCTGGGTTCCAACCAATAAATAAGGTACATTTGGTGCATATTCTTTCAGTTCTGGTACCCATTCCTCTTTCACATTCTGAAAAGAAGCCGGATTTACCACAGAGAAACAGATGAGGAAAACATCAGTCATGGGGTATGACAGCGGCCTGAGGCGATCATAGTCTTCCTGAAGACAGACATTTATATATACACATATTACTTTTCACTAAAAACTTGAATTTTGATCAGTCATTTCTAATGGATACACACATTGGTGTTTCTAAGCAATCAGTCTCAGTATTTTACATGCTGTATAAACAGAGTTAAAAGCTTCTTCCAATCTATTGCAAATTATGCTTTTCCCCTACTTTTGGTATATTCAGATGATAGTATAAAAACTAGATGATGATGATGATACTACAAAACCAGACAGTGATCTTCCCTATCAGCTGCTACAGTATATGGAATAATGGATATATGTTTAAGAATTACTTCATGCACACACACAAAAATAAACAAACAAACAAACAAACCCCTTATTTTTCAAGACATTAAGCCAAGCTGCAGCTATTGGCTGATTTTAACATTTTCATGGATAGTGTCTGAAAGAACAAAAAATGGAACTGAACTACTTGCTTCCTTGGTGAGGTTCTCACCAAAATATTTTAAGAGGATTTTTTTCTGGATCAGATCAAAGATTTATGAATACATTACCCACATTGGCCAGTCAGACCCAACAGAAAGTCCACCTATAGGATTCAAGCACAACAGGCCCTCTCCTTATATTCCTTAGCAGTGGATACCCAGGACTTGCTGTCTCTGATCTGGGACAGACTAAAACAGCTGTCACAATGGCTGTCTTCAACCCCCATTACTTTATTTAATCCCTTTTTGAAATGGTCCAGGTTAGCAGCTACCACAACTTCTCGTGATAACTGTTTGAATATCTGTTATCATATATCTGTCTTGAATGTTACATTATTCAACTTCCTTGGAAGGGACTGGGTATTCTTATTACACATAATCTTATACATCTCTACCACATGGTATCTTGAACACTGTAGCCTTGGCTCATTGGAATCACCCTCCCCTTTCACATGTTGCTTCCATTACTACCTCTCTATAGCTCTAGAGAAGACATACAAGGTATGTTGTAAGTTTTATTATTAATTAATTCGATAAGGATGGAATTTGCCTTTTTCACAGCAGCTGTATGTTAACCTCTCTATCATGGAGTCCTTGGTGCTCTCTGAGCTTGGTTGTTTGCTTGCAGACGTTTCATTACCCAACTAGGTAACATCATCAGTGCAATGTTACCTAGTTGGGTAATGAAACATCTGCAAGCAAACAACCTAGCTCAGAGAGCACCAAGGACTCCATGATAGAGAGGTTAACATACAGCTGCTGTGAAAAAGGCAAATTCCATCCTTATCGAATTAATTAATAATAAAACTTACAACATACCTTGTA